CTGGAAGAGGATGGGATCCCCTGCTCTGGAACCCTGTGTGTTGCCCGTGAAAACTGCCGACGGGACGCCGATGCAGATCGACGGTAAATTTTCGACCGATTTTGAGGTCAAAGATCGAGTTACAGGGAAAACCGTTCATGGAAACGGAATTTGCTACGTCACCGAAGGCTCGAATCTATTGGGATTGGAATGGTGTATCCAATTGCCGGCGTACAAGAAGCTGAAGGACAACTACAACTGCAGAAAGGTGACTAGCGAGGAGAAATTTCGAGCCGAAGTCGTCGCCGATTTGAAGAGGAAATATGCGGAAGTCTTCAATAGCGACTTGGGAAAGTGCACGAAGAGCAAGGCCAAGTTAATCTTGAAGAGCGATGCTGTGCCAGTCTTCAAGAAGAAGAGGCCAGTTCCGTACGCCACGGCACCGGAACTGGAAGCAGAAATTGATCGGCTGGTAGCCGAAGGAGTTATTTCTGCTGTAGAACACTCAGAGTGGGCCGCGCCAATAGTCGCCGTCAAGAAGAAAAATGGCAGGATCCGTCTATGCGCCGACTTCTCGACAGGACTTAACGATGCATTGCAGCTGCATCAGCATCCATTGTCCACAGCGGAGGATGTGTTCACCAAGCTCAATGGAGGCCAGCTCTTCACTCAACTCGACCTAGCCGAAGCGTATTTACAAGTGGAAGTCGAGGAAACGTCAAAGGAGATGCTGACTATCAACACACATAAGGGATTATATCGCTATAATCGTTTGCCATTCGGAGTGAAATCGGCACCCGGTATATTCTAACAGATCATGGATTCCATGATAAGCGGACTTGATGGAGTAGCCGCTTATCTTGATGACATCATCATCACAGGGAGGAGTTACGAAGAACACCGCCAGAATTTGGAAGCCTTGTTTAAGAGAATCAAGGACTACGGATTCCACGTCAGGTTGGAAAAATGCAACTTTCTCATGCCAGAGATTTGTTACCTAGGGTGCATCATCGACAAAAGAGGACGCCGGCCGGATCCAAAGAAGATTGAAGCCATCCAGCAAATGCCAGCGCCGAAGAACATAGCGGATGTTCGGTCATTCCTCGGCATGATCAACTATTATGGATTATTCGTGGCCGAGATGCGCCAGCTTAGAGCACCCCTGGACGCATTGCTCAAGAAGGACGCAAAGTTCGAATGGACAGAGAAATGCCAAAACGCATTCAAGCGTGCCAAAGAAGTCTTAGCCTCCGATCTACTCCTTACACATTTCGATCCTGACTTACAGATAGTGGTAGCTGCGGATGCGTCAGACTACGGAATCGGGGCTGTAATTCTGCACAAGATGCCAGATGGGACAGAAAAGGCTATCTGCCATGCAAGCCGAAGCCTCACAGCCGCAGAAAAGAACTACGGACAAATTGAGAAGGAAGGACTAGCATTGGTTTTCGCGGTCCGTAAGTTCCATCGGTACATATACGGACGCCGATTCAGATTGCTCACCGACCACAAGCCGCTGCTACACATTTTTGGACCCAAGAAGATGGTACCGGTGTACACAGCGAACAGGCTGCAACGATGGAAACTCATTCTACTCGCATACGACTTCGACTTGGAGTACCGCAAGACGACCGAATTCGGACAAGCTGATGCACTGTCTCGACTGATCCCTCCAAGGCCATTCCAAACCAAAGACGTTGTTATAGCGAAGATAGAAAAAGAGGTGCGAGCTGTTCAAGCTGCTGCTGTACGAGCGTTACCAGTAACCCGGAGGAAGATTGAAGAAGAATCTCGTAAGGACGAAACCATTGCGCAGGTCATACGAATGCTGCAATCAGGAGCATGGCCGTCCAAGCCGAAAGAAGAAGTCCGAAATTGGAGAGCACTGAGGGAGAATTTATCAGTGCAAAACGGATGTTTGTACTTCGCCCACAGAATAGTCATTCCAGCTTCGCTGAGACAGGCGGTTCTGAAGCAGTTACACGAGGGACACCCTGGAATGACAAGGATGAAGATGCTCGCAAGAGGATTCGCATACTGGATGGGCATCAACAGAGAAATTGAAGACTCAGTGCGCCGCTGTAGGGATTGTCAAGAAGCCTCCAAAATGCCAGTGAAGACGATGCTGCATTCATGGAAAGTGGAAGACAAACCATGGAATCGACTTCACATTGACTATGCAGAACCGCTGAATGGCAAGATGTATCTCGTCGTAGTTGACGCTTACTCGAAATGGCCAGAAGTATTTGAGATGCCTTCATCGTCAGCTACAGCTACCCTGAGAGAACTCAGATCTCTATTCGCTCGATTTGGAAATCCGCAAGTGATCGTGTCGGATAATGGGACGCAGTTCACAGCAAAGGAGTTCCAAGATTTCTGTGAAGAGCGAGGAATCAAGCATATGCATTCACCCCCATTCCATCCACAATCAAATGGACAAGCGGAAAGGTTTGTGGATATCTTCAAAAAAACCTTCCAGAAAATTAAGGAGGGAGGAACGGCAGAGAAGCTTGCGGAGTTTCTACAGTCTTATCGACGAACGCCTTGTACAACTGCTCCGGGACAACGATCGCCTGCCGAGCTGCTCCTGGGACGTCAGATAAGAACACCGCTGTCGCTGCTGAATGAAGACTCCAAAGAAGAAGGAATGGGCAATGAAAACATGGAGAAGCAGTTTAACCGCCACCATGGAGCACGAAAGAGAGCGTACCAGCCACAAGAAGCCGTGTGGGTACGTGATTTTCGCTCTGGATGTGAAAAATGGATTCCAGCTAGAGTGAAGAAACGCTACGGAGAAGCACTATATGGCGTGCTTACTGAAGACGGCCAGTTATGGAGACGACATGCGAACCAGATGCGCCGCGCAGCAAGTATGGATCGCCATCATGACTCGACACAGTCCACTTCCGACGAAGACCGACTTAACAGTGGTTTCGATGCTGCTGAACACCAAGCCACCTCGTCTACTTCACCGACATCAACCAGACCAAGTCGCCATCGTCGCCCACCAGAACGTCTACAAGTAGATCCTTATTATAAGATGTACCGTTGTTCATCTTAGGAGGGAGGTGTTGAGCCGTCCCTTCTATTGGAACTTGCTCACTATTGATAGCTAATGCTGAGGCGGCCTATGTGGCTGCGGCGTACCCGCCGCACCTTGCTGTATTTACGTGTTGTTATTGCATTGATCCTAGTGAACCCGCGGCATATACGCCTATGTGTATAAGGGGAATCTTTGTGTTTTTCTAATAAATTGTCAACGGCTCAACGCGTTCCACAACAATAATAATCCGGATATATCATGCAAAGGAATATAGATGAAGAGATATGCTATCCGTTGATAGCTGACCAGCCTTCATTTTGTTATTCACGCTCAAATTGAAAACTAAAAAGATTTAAATGCCCGAAAAATCGAGAAAAACTCATAACTCCCCTTAAAAACCCTACAAAAACTCTAATTTGCTCGCCTAAACACTATCCATCTAAGAAATTTACATACGCTGTTCGTTTTTATTTCTCGGCTTAAATGGATAGTGTTTACGCCAGCAAGCTAGAATTTATGTAGGAATTTTTTAAGAGTTATGATTTTTTCTCAATCTTTTGGGCAGTTAAATCTTTTGAGTTTCCTTCAAATTCGTGTTGGATCAGAGCTGGTGCAAAAGCGAGATAATCGTCTTGTAGAGCTTCTTTGCTCTACCGAACGGTATTTTGAAACCTATCTAGAAACATGAAGTTCTTAATTTATTGCGATTGAAAATCAAAACAGACGGACTTACGAAATAATCTGATAGTTGAAAAAATTGCTCATAATTCGCTTCTCAGAAAAGCTAACAGAAACGAAGCAATCTAGGTTGATTTCTTATGTTTTTAACTGTTCAATGGTTTATCAACTGTTGATGCACAAGATTTTCCTTTTCAAGTTTTGCTCCGACGACCCTGAAAGCCAAGCCAATGGGCTGGAGTGAGCAAGCTAGCAATAAACATCTTTACCCCAATTTTAAAGAGTCACAAGTTTTTCATATAATTTCCTGTATACCATCAGGAAGCTTACAAAAGGGGCAATCGAAATATCAGATTGTTATATAAGACTTATTACACTTTAATTTCTTAGACGATAAGTCGTAAACTTCATAAATTTGATAAAGCTCTAGGGTACCATTTGATGAGCAAAACAGGCTTTACAACATGATGTATAAAAGTTCACTCCAACTTTGGCCCATCCGGAATGTGAGTTGAAGGCCCAAAAATTAAAAAAAAAAACTCATATCTTTGTTTTAAAAAACGCTACGGATTTCCAACTTGCACATACGATTGCACACCACATCGGACACTCATATGTACAGTTGCTGTATTTCTTCCCCGCCTAGAAATCGAGAGAACGAAAATTTTCATGCCTGTACAAAAAGCTATGCTGTTTCTATTCATGTAGTTGCATACTATAGGCCCTTAGAAGTATAGCCATAGATTTTCAGCTTTTCACAAGCGCTAGTTTTCGAAAAATACCGAATTCAGCTTTTCTCACTTGTTCTACGCACATAAACACATACATACATACACCATACTATATACATACACTTCATTTTGTTGTTCACGCTCGAATTTTGGATAGAAATCTTTGCTGCTTCCATAGTGATTTCGTGCTGTAATCGTACCTGATATGTTGAATATAACATTAAAAATCTTGTCATCACCTGCTTACTTTTTTATGATTTCCAAATGGTGGTAACACATTTGTTTGATTTCGTCAAACGCTCCCTATCTCGCTCGTAACATTGTATTAATCCTACGGATGAGAATTCAGAATTACGATTAAGAATTTACAGGCATTCAGCGAAGAAAAAAGGCAAGCGAATGTGCTATTATCGTTGGGAAAGCATATGATGAGGGTGATTTGCATCAAAATCCAAGCGCGAATAACAAAAAATGAGGGTTTATCGAAATCGAGCTTTTGCCATCGCTATCGATTTGAGAGATACTGCCTGCGCATATATATGGTCCCGCTGAGCATTATTCACTGTTGTCGTCTTTGTGCGGTACTTTGTGCGGTTGCCGAGTGACCCATCAACACAGAGGTACATAGGTTAGTTTGTACTCAGTCTGTATCTCTGCACTTGCGCACACCTATACATAAACAAACAAACAAACGCGCTGCTTAGTGCAGTAATCTTTAGATATATGAATGATTTTTTTTTCATTTATTCACTGATAGCCTGCTAGGTTCTCTATTTGCTAGACATTAAGTAAAGTCAAGTCATTACTAAAACGATATGCTGTTTGAATTAAATTGCTATAATACAAAACATTAAGAAATCCAATTTTTGAGAAAGCCTTATCATGAAAGCAACACAGAACTTCAACTGTCTGGGTGGGCCAACTTGACTGGGTGTGCTTAGCTTGGTATTTTGTGGGTTTCAGATCTATTCTCTCCATTCGGAGACCACACTGAAAGACCAGACCAATGCAGGTGCTTCTCTAGCCTACCAAGCTAGATACTGATCGGAGGAGCCCAGATATCCTAAGCGCTGCCTGTAACTTCTCCCTTCTACACCTGCAATATTTTGCTTTTATACAGGGTGTCCCAAAAAAATGTGCTTACTGTTTGATTGTAAATAACTCTCTTGTAATGAAGTGTTTCGAGAAGGTACACGTACCATTTTATAGAGCGAGGTTAAACTTAGATTTATAGTATGGAGCTAATCATCTATCGCCCTTCATTACTGTAGGATTACGGTACGAACTTCGACAAGGATTTTTGGCCATTGGAGGCTATATTTTGTCTCGGGACAAAACCAAACAAGCCAATAACTCATATACTACGGTAATAAAAGCCGCTGTTTTCGAATTTGAAATTTCCACTTAGCTGTGATGCTTCTTTCCAAAGTTATCCCGGGTAAACCGTCATAATTGAACTCCCAGTATTTGTCAGAAATGTGATTACACCGTCAAAAAAGCTGAAAACACTCGTAAGAAGCTGTTAGATGGAATCAGCATGCGCGAAAACCCTAGTACACGCTTTTTCAGATTTTTTGAAAAAAATTATGTTAGGCGGTATATTTCACAATTTTTCCATAGGCTGGAAGTTTGTACCGTAATCCTACAGTAGCGATAGATGATTCGCTCCATACTGTAAATGTAAGTTCAACTTCGCTCTACAAAATAATACCTAAAGCGTCTCGAAACACTTCATTACAAGAGAGTTATTTACAATCAAACAGTAGGCACATTTTTTGGGACACCCTGTAAAATCGCAATAAATGCGCTTGAAAAAAATTAGAAAAAAGTTTATAAGTGTACCATGTTTTTAACAAGATATGAGATTTCTGTCAACAAAATCTATTTGGTAGGCACATGCTTTGGCAGTTTTCAATATTTTGCATTATATGTATTAGGTTGTGTAATAAGTTCGTACGCATTTTTTGTTTTCGGATTTTCCCGCTTTTGCAAAACATTCGGCAAGATGTTCGCATGCTTTTGGAAGCTCTGGATCTCTACCGAGTTGCTTTCATTTTTTTCCAAATCTTGAAAAGAAGAACAAAAATTTGACTACAAAAATCATCGAGTATGTGGCATGCTCGCCTGGCTTTGATTTTTCGGTTTACAACAAAATTTTTCAGTCAACTTCTCAATGATCGAGGAAATAATAATACTAGCCTTGACTGCAGATTTAGAGCTTCCGAACGCATTTGAATATTTTTCTAAATGCTTACAAACTATTGGGAAAGAACTAAAACAAAAAATGACAAAAAACAACGAATTTATTATACAACTTAATATTACTGGTATAATTAGTACTGAACTGTTAAGGTTTTGTGTCGAACTCAGCAGCAGTACATATGAATGTCTGATGTACATGCGTGAGCGATTAAGATAACAGGCCTTTTTCGAACAAAAATAAAACAAAAATAGAAATCTTTAATTTTTTCAAACTTTTCAAAGTTCTTTAAACTTGCGGTAACCGCATCTCATGCGAATATTTGTGACCACGGCCCATAGTATCCCCCGTTTAGAACAACTCGGCTAAGCGGGCTTAAGTTGAACGTATAGCGCTTCAGTTCGGCATCTCGTGAGCTATCGATCCTTATACATATCAATTCCTGACATGACAATCGTGTATTTTTGGTCAAACGGCTAAGATTCAATTCAGTGCGCACGGCCACGGTTGAGTTCTGCAAGTGACACAGATTTTACTGTTTTTTCTTGAATGGATCATCTCAATTTAGTTGAGATTAATGGGGGTCACTATGTCATCTTTTACATTTTGTTTGCTTCATCAGATGTTAAGTGTGTGTATGTGTGTGTATGTCTGTGTATGCATGTGTGTATGCGTGTGTGTATGTGTGTATGAGTGTGTCTGTGTGTGTATGTCCTTGTATGCATGTGTGTATGCGTGTGTCTATATGTGTGTATGAGTGTGTCTGTGTGTGTATGCATGTGTGTATGTGTGTGTATGTGTGCATGTATGTGTGGTGTGTGTATGTCTGTGTATGCATGTGTGTATGTGTGTATGCATGTGTGTGTATGCATGTGTGTGTATGCATGTGTGTGTGTGTGTGTGTGTGTGTGTGTGTGTGTGTGTGTGTGTGTGTGTGTGTGTGTGTGTGTGTGTGTGTGTGTGCTGATTTCAACGTCTTTTGGCAAGTTTAAAGTTATTGTTTTCGATTGGCGCGGGGGAGAGACACGAACGCCGATCTCTACTCTCTTCTCTAAGCTGCAAAGCATGCAGCAGTCTCCATGGCACATCGCGGTGTTAGTTTTTGTCCGATCCGAAAGGTGAACTGAGTACTCTAACATCATTCTGCTACCACCCGGCGCCGTAGGCGGGATGCGATGTGCAGGGTTTATTTTTCTTCTCTTTGCTGATCGAGTAATAAAAATTCCCCCAACAAGAGCAGACTTACTAGGCCAACTCTTAATTCCCCTGGCCATCGCTGACTTCGGGTGTGAAGTGGCGACCGCTTGGCGATCAGAAAAGCCAGAAGATCTGGTCTTCTTTCCTAGCTAAACACCCGGTAAAAACTGGAAATGTCAAACTCCTTCAGCAGCTTGATGCCCTACCAGGATATACATTCGGCTGTAAATTGCCATTCGTAGGGTAGCGAAACAATTCAAGACAATTATCATAACAACTTGATCGCTTTCAGCAATGTATTTGTCAAATTTGAGAAAAAATGAAACGCTTGCTTGAAGTACTTTGCTGCTGCCTATTCACCTTCTAAAAAAGGGAACCTTAGCGCACTTCTCTGTTCTTCTAAACTTTATTATGTTCGAAAACAGGTTAACATTCTTGCAATTTAATGCTCATTCTCAAAGGGTGGGGCGTATCCTGATTAGAAAACTGAACACGTTGGTAGGTAGCCACACAAACTCTTGGTTTTATTCGTTCAAATGTTTTTTGTCACAGGAAATGGGAAACTGACGCTTCTTCTTGTGACATTGGGTACGATATGGAAAAAGATGTAGTATCCTTTTTTGAAAAGCGGGACCTACCGTAATGAAGCCAAAATCCATTACAGAATAATGTGGATACATTAGTTTTAAACGACACTGAATCTCTTTGAGTACAACGCGCGTAAGGCCTCGGGCAGAGTTCACGCGTTTTCATCGTCGCGATTCATTGCGGCAACACAAGTGTTACGAGTTCATTTCATGCCGATCTTCTTGTACTTCGGTTGTGAGTCATTCAACATTAATCATGATGGAAAACTATCACAGCCGATCAAAAGAAGATCGGCACGTAATGAACTCGTACTTGACTTGTCGCGATGAATCACGACGATGAAATCGCGTGGACTCTGCGTGAGGCCTAACGCTACCTTATGGCAAACGCTTTAACGAAAAAAAAATCAACCGCATACGATAACAAGTGCTATGTCATAATATACTGCAAATCATGGCAAAAAAGTTGACAGTCAATCTCAGAACTAAGTTCAAGTAGCTTTCCAAACTAATGTGATATCAGTATTGTTCGGTTGTGCTTGAATCTTGGCATGATCAAATGTGAGCAAATTGACATCACGCGTAACACATGCCAGTTGGATCAGCGTAGACACTGTATTTGAACGTGAATGGTCCATCTAATCAAAATCCGAAGAAAATTTCAAAAACTGATACTCACTGTGTACCCGCGTTAGGCCCCGGACAGACTTCACGCGACTTAATCATCGCGATCTAATCGCCAAGATTTCCATTCATTTTCATTTCAGTTTCAAAAATTTCGGGCTGGAAAAGTATCACAACCGAATGCAAGTTGATCGGCATGGAATGATGTTGTAACAGTTGTCTCGTCGCGACTCAGTCGCGACGATCAAGTCACGTGAATTCTGCCCGGGGCCTTGGACGAAGGCCATCATCCATACCAAAAGACGTTCCTCACTCAGCTAGGATGCATGGTACTCATGAACTTAGAATTATTCCACTTTGAAGCGAGTAAGGCATGTGAGTGTTTCGGTCGGCTCCAATGAACCTTGTTTCAATACGGCTGCAGCAGTTTTTACAGGGTTTACGGGCGATTATATTATTGCAGTAAAGCTCAGAACAAAGTTTTCAGCCATTTCTGATTTTCTAAAAAAAAAACAAGGCCCTATCTTTTGAGTGTCTCTGCTATAGGTGTGTTGGAAAAACATGCTACTGACCGCATGGTTTTTTCAATAGTTCTTGTTCTGGGCTTTTGCTTTGCGGAAATAGCATCGTATATAAGCCTAAAATATGCGCGACTTATCGTAGTGTGCCGACATTATCTCTCTTAAATAATTTTTTCTTTATGAGCTGCTAACACGTCTAAATCATCACGATTGTGCGGCAGAACATTCTGCATATTAGAACAGGGTGTCGTAACTGCATAATCTGGCAGAATGGATAGAACTTGATCCGTGGTCCTCCAGCAGAACCTCAGCGATTGAAAAAATAAGGCGCAAAACATCTGTGCGGTTTATTTTGAAAGCTTTATTTTAGATGAATGGCTTGAAGTTGTTGTTAATTTCTTTTCTATTTTTGGGATTCCTTCACATGGCATCGTCAAAAATAGTGAGAATTTCTATATTATTTTCTTTTGAACAACCGGTTTAGCTGACATTTTCAGGGCCCACTTGTAAAGCTCTCACAACAAAAGGGAGGTGATGTAAGAAGGGACAGACATAGCTCTCCACCAAATCAGTTGCCGAGTACTACCGCGAACTCACGTGTTTAGTTTGAAACACAAGCTGTCACCGTATATACCGAGTGCGGAGAACTGATTCTCGGAATAAAGCTGGCGTGTTTTCAGGTTTTTCCTGGTTAATTCGACATGATTCTCGATAGAATACATTCTAGCATTTTACAAGAAATTGGCAAAGATATTCGGTGATCTACCGAGCAGCGTTCCCATAAAAAGCTCAAATCAACTATCGCAAGTTTTCTTAACAAGTGTAAAGATGGCTCAATAAATTTTACATTTCTAAGAAGAATCTAGTGAATTTTTCTAAACGAAAAAGTTGCTGCGGCAAACAGGGTGTGATCATAAAATGTGGCACATGAACTCGTGCAATCGTTTATTGACCTGGAAATTAGCGTGGGCGAAGCTTTGTTCTCTTCATTGTTTCCGCTATTATTTTTCAAAATCTCCTCCAATTTACCTATGGAGTAGTTCTCCTTATTTCGTCACAACCTCACGTCACTGACCTGTAACAGATATGAAATTTTGGATAAGAGATTGTGCTTCACACACTATCCTAAAAAATTATAACCTTTTAATGGTCAATCTACGGGGCAAAAATCGCGACCAAACGTTGTGCGTTTTCACTGATACTGTTTGCTGTTATCATACGTTCGAATGGAAGGAAGTATAAAATCAAACTTATCTCAGCCTGATCTTCAGGCCTCGCCTACCGTTCCTCTTTATTTATTTGTGAGATGTTTTGGGTGGCAGACAGCGGAAGACTGTACGCGTTTTCAAATCAAATCTGAGGTCCACGTGGCGCATGGATAGCGGCACAAACCTTGAGCACTTTTTCTAAATCTTTACTAATTCCCAAAAAAACGCAAGTGATGCGTTGATAGCACAAAGTTCGAAGATACAAAAAGACCATATTTGCCTAATAGAATTTTTATCAGAAGCTCCAAACTTTAGCGGGGTAACCTCAGAAACAAGGACGCCAATCAATAGATCTTCGGAACTAAATCAAATTTATACCCTAAAAAGGAATTTTTCATACAGTAGTACTGAGTACTGTAGCGCGTACCACTTACAAATTGGCTTCCAATAGTGTAACACTTGCTGAAATAATGTACCTATGTCGCATAGTAGCACACGGAAATCGTTCTGAAGTATACTGTGATTGTTCAAAATGAATCTGCATTAGTATGAAAAATTATGACTGAAGTGGTTTCGGATGTCAGCAGCAGAAATCATCAAAGTACTAAAACCTTTTCGATCTATCTCCCCATCATTATACACTGATATAGAACCATAATTAAATTTAAAGGGCAGATACGCAGGAAATTTTAGGCGGACGTACCCTTTGTATGGGAGCGGCGGGACATGGATAAGCTCTGCGCTTGCACCTTTCCCGTTAGCATGCTCTACAGTCATTCAACTTGATTAGCGATCGAAGCTTCGCCCTCCCCGCAGCCATAAACAGAAAATAACTACGGATAGTTTGTTCTTCTATTACTACTTTCCAAGCCATACTAAGAGTCACATTGGTCGTCACCATCCTACGTCACACTTTCTCCCGTTAACAACCTCGATAGTGTTCTGCTCAGGCTATAAGGTCACTGGGTACACTGTTTCTTACAAGGGAAGGATACTAACTTAGATTCTCCTTCTGAGATGAGACACATATTTTTGGAATCAGCCTGGAACGCTGATTTTAGATATGCTACTTCTAGCTGCTTAGCATTATTCTGAAGCGAGTTGTGGTCTCTTTTCTATGCAAAGTTTGCGTGCTTCTTGACCTACTGATGCTACGATGTCGACGTCTAGGTTATTTTATATTTGTATAATGCTACCTTTCAAAGTCGAAAGAATTAATCTGATGCTAATTTAACATCCTAGCACTTTTTTCGAGCAGATTCTTATCTACGCGCCGCCTTACGACATTCGGAAGTTTGCTAATTACTCACAACACCAAGCCCATAACTCGCTCCGATAATGCTAAGCAGCTGGAGGCAGCATATTTGGAATCAGCGTTCAAAGCTGATTCCAAATATATGTGTCTCATCTCAAAAGGCGAATCTAAGCTAGTGTCCTTCCCTTGTTAGTCCGGAAAAGTAAAAAACATGGCAAAAGTCAGATTTAGTAATCTTTACTTTGACGGGATTGGCGGCTGGAAGACGGAGTTTCGAAACCTGTTCAAGGCTGTTGAATGATCAGAGAGCACGGCCGCTATGACCAGATCGGACACGGGTTCGATCCCCGTCCCTGGGCCAACCAAGTCCTCTACCCAGGCCGGTAAATTGATACCAGAGTAATTTAAGAGGATAAAAGACACTGACTTGGTAAGCGGCTGGCCCCTGCAAGTCACTGTGTTGGGCTCGCACGCATACTGTTGCCTCTTCGATTATGAAGTAGTGCGCGTTCGGCGCATGCCCGCAGAGGCTACTGAAGACGCCGAATTCTTTATTTTTTGTCCTTTGATATGTAATAAAAGTTCTCGCGAAAGTAAATAAACAATTACTCATGTAGTACTCCCCATTATACTTGGGTCCGAATCGAATAGAAATTCGATCATTCGAATAAAACATTCGAATATATTCGTATTCGAAATTCGATATTCGGAGTTCTTCCATTTTCGAATATTATTCGAAACTCGAATAATTGAGAGAACGGGGTTTCGAATAAAATTCGAAACTCGAATAATCAAAAAACAGGGTTTCGAATAAAATTCGAAAACTCGAATAATCAAAAAACGAGGTTTCGAATATTATTCGAAAACTCGAATAATCAAAAAACGGGGTTTCGAATAGATTTTATTCGAATGTTTTATTCGAATGTTTATTCGAAATCGTATTCGAATGTACTCCGTATTCAGATTATTCGATTTGTTGCAGAGCCAACTGCTAAGTATCAAGCTCACTTCGTCCGCGGTTTTCTTTCGCAAAACTCGGTAATGCATCTTTTGCAACCGGTATACCTTTAAACTGTATGGAAAGTCGCATTCTTCCGACTGCTTACGACAGTAAAAACATCATATGTGGATTTTAATTGATGTTTTTTCGATCAATGAGATTGTTCGCACTGCTATTGGCACCAAATCAGCAAAGAAGATATCAAATTCAAGCTCATGTTCTGAGTTCATACTGAATTGAAATGGCTGTTCTTCCTTCTTTGCATGCTCATGCTTGCGGTACGCAAAGCCCACAGTAGTGAGCACTCTTGCTCGCATAAATTATTGCAAAACTGCCCATTCGTTACTTTGGAGTTTTTTGCGAATTGGTGCATACTGAGTAAAGGACTTCGCAGCTGTAGTGCAGGATTAGACGGTTTAGATCGCCGTACGCGATTTGCCAGTTACGAGATGTCTTCAAATGTAACGCCAGCTTACCACAAATGCTTAGCGTGTACAACATACTAAAATAATAAATGCCCTGCATTCTGTACTTTCAGAATAGGTTCTGGACGATTGAGTATTGCCATACCACGTCGCCACTGAAATGGCTGCAGTATGCCCGGGGTTATAGGGGCATTCCTGCTCGCTTCGCGAAGGAAACCACATGCTCCACGAAGCTTATACCACGCAACACGAAAGTCTCCGATGAACAGGAAAATCTTGAGCTACGAGGTTGGGAGTTGGTACAAAGGGTAAGTGTGCTGATTAAAATAGAAATTTATTTTATTGATTTCAGCAATTTTTGGAAAATTTTGAGCTAGGAGTTGGTATAGGGGATACTAGGGGGCTGATTATGATTGGATCGGCTTTAGCCAGATATGTCGGCAAGTTTGAGATGTGATTGCTTTGGTTATTCGATAAATCATTCGAATACTTATTCGAAATTCGACTTCCAATATCCGAATATATTCGATATTCATTCATTCGATATTTTTGATTTTCCGAATTTATTCGAAATTCATTCATTCGATATTTTTGATTTTCCGAACATATTCGAAATTCATTCATTCGATATTTTTGATTTTCCGAACTTATTCGATATTCGTTTATTCGAGATTTTTTATTTTCGAATTTATTCGATATTCATTCATTCGATGAAAAATTATCGAATTACCCAAGTATACTCCCCATGCGCAACAGGTTCGCAAAATTTCTATTTCCTTTGACTTCCCTTCGCGTAATTACACCTCTCGGCACTTTTCCGGCAGCATCATCATTGGATACGACAGATCTTTGGTCTTGATCTTTGGTTCATTGCATTTTGAGAATTTTTCGCACATTCCATGTTTACTGACCTGAGTGAAGTGAGGATTAATAATGGAATAGAAATTGAAACCTAGGTTTAAGTTTCTCGTTCCTCACAAGGGAAGCTTGTTTAGTCGAAGTGGCCTTTTTGAATGAGATGTATACCATATTGAAGGGCATAAAACGCTGGTTCCAAAGCTGCTTCCTTATCTGCAGAACGTTCATGGACAGGAGTTATGAGCGTTTTTGAAGTCAAAAATTGAGTGTGCATTTTGGATAAAATGGGTTGCAAAAATCTCGGTAGCCTTCAAATAATGCAACCAGCTCTGGCAAATTTTTTATTTTAGAATGTATTCTAAATAAAGTGCTCTGGTGATTAATACTGTTTCATTGAAGAGCTAGAAAAAGCATTACAGCTATATTTGTCCTAGTTGCACATTCAATTTTTTGCTCCGATAAGCGCTCATAACTCCTTTTCCATAAACGCTCTGCAGATAAGGAAGGCAGATTTGGCCGCATTTTATGCCCTACCATATAGTATAAATCCCATCCAAAAAGACCATTTCGACTAAACAAGTATACCTTGTCAGTTGAGTTATTATAAGCTTCTGTAGGCGTTTTAAGTCACAGGATTCAGCACATCTGTTTCAGCGCACAAAAATACAGTGATTATCAAAATGACATAGCTGTGGTAAATGGATTCATAGATTGAACATGAGTATCAACTATGCTATTTCATTTAGCCAACTTTCCTCAACAAAAAACATCAGAGCAAAGAATTTGACGAAGGCAATGTAGACAAGATGATACAGGTTAAGAAAGGCTCCATAGATTCATTCGTGGCTTTATGTGCGAACTCCTGCTCTCTTTCTCGCTGAGAAAATAATGAATGAGTAAACTTCACATTACTAAGAAAGAGGCG